GGGGGGGGTATTATACAAGGGGTCGGGACGACGGAACGTCATGGTGCAAATCATTGTTGGCTTTGATCTGACTGCGCGCACGGGCTGGAGAGCGGGGACGTGTGGGCGCTCATGGGCCGCTTGACCTGCGGCGGCGGGCTGTCCAGGTTCAGCATACTCTGAACTAGCAACGACAGGAGCCGGGCGAGGGCTCCTTTCCTCTCCTTGGCGGCCGCGGCGGACCCGACTCGTCGAAATCAAGCATGCTGCGCACGGGAAAGTGGGCGCTGGTGTGCGGGGAGTCGGCGCCTCTAACCCTGGTCGAGGCAGTGCCCTCGAGGAACATCAGCGCGTCCCGGCCCTCGTCGTCGAGCATAGCCTCCATGCTCATTGGTCGCGATAAGGTGTCTGCCAGGTCATGTTATGTGTTGGGAATGCTATCTTATTTCTCCAGCCACATGGCCGCTACGGTCGGAGCTCTAGGCCATTTGCGGGGACCAGCCCTCGAATAAGCACCGCATGCTCGCAGCAGGACTGCCAGGGCCTGCGCCAGGATTTCAACGAAAATAAGAGGAAGCCATCGAGATATTGAGCCGCGGCGCCAGGGTCGCGGAGCCGTCCCGCCAGCCTATCCAGCGTAAGTTCGTTCGTGGCACTCCGGCTTCAGTGAGCACTCACTAACATGTTTACAGTCGGTGATCTGCTGACGCAGATGCCGAGGCATCCCTATGCTCGAGTCAGCCACGGTCGTCGCATTGGCATCAATGAGGCGCTCCGGCACAAGGCCTGGGGACCGCTGCTGTCTGACGTACCGCGAAGACCCAAGGCAGACGACGGAGTAACGGGCGGAGCAGTGTCGTTGATATGGTTCAACTTTGCGACCAAATTCTGAGTCCGGCTTTCGTCTATTGGGCGCCCATTAGGGTGCGAATTACGCAGTATCGCTACTGGCGGCATGTCCACTCCGATCAAGCGCCTTCGACCCGTCAGGTCTGGAGGAGAAGTCGTGGTGTGTTGTCTGACAGCAGTGCAGATAAGAACGGATTCAACGTCGACCTGTCGCAGACCGAGACTGACAGGCTGTCGGACGCGGAAAAAGACCAGCTCATCCTGGGCTCCAAATACCTCCAGGTCACTTGGTACACATACACCGGCTTCCTGTGGTGCATGAAGGCATGCCTACTGTTCTTCTAGTGAGTCAAAGCGAAGCGGCGCACTGCCTTGCAAGCATTTCCAGGCCAAGATCGCTGATGGCTGCCCCTCTAGCGATCGCTTGAAGTTCAACCTTTGGACGTACGACTGGGTGTTCAAGGCGCTGTGCTGGGCCACCTTCCTGTCGTATGTTACTGTGGTGCTGACTATCAGCCTGAGCTGCCTGCCGTAAGAATCGCTCCCTGTCTGTCCTCAGCCCCCGCGCAGTTCCGAGAAGGTGGCAAGTCGTACCGCGTATCGCTCACACGCAGCTCGCAAGCCCAGCTACGATAGAAACTTCTAGGTGCAGCCGCTCCCCTCGCCGGAGTGCCTCTTCCAGGGGCAGAACCTGATCGTGAGCGTGGTGCTGAGTACGTAGCCAATTTCCGACCCCAGCGATCACTCGTAGGGGACGCAGCTAACGCGATCGCTAACTACCGGCTGTTGCGCCTCGCACTCCTTTTGGCTAGACATTCTCACGGACGCGGCCATACTGAGCCTACCCCTGCCTGTGCTCCAGGACCTGCGCACGCCGCCGCTCAAGAAGGCCCTGGTGGCGTTGCTGATCTGCTCGGGCTTCTTCGTCATCTCGGCCGCGGCGGTCCGACTGACCGCGACGCTGGACGCGGCGCCCTCGGCCGTCACCATCAACAGATGGGGCATCCGCGAGTGTGAGATCGGGCTGGTCGCCATCAACACGCCCGTGCTGCGGCCGCTCTTCACGCGCAAGTTCTGGGCGCGCCGTAGCAGCGACAGCAGAATCGGCGGAGAGGGCGATAGAGGGGCCGGCGGTGCCGCGGCTCACCATCACCACCACCGCGGATGGGGACGTGGATGCTGCTTCTTCGGCGTGACCTTGGACTCGCTCGCGGCCCCGGCGAGGACCAACGGGCGAGGGGGAGGAGGCGGCGGCGGCGGCACCTGGACCGTGGGTCACCTGCCGCAGCACGCGAGGACGGATGCGGCCGGCGCGGCTCACGAGCAGCCGCCTTGCGGGAGACAGCAAAGAGGCTGGCGGAGGGCAGCCTGCCCCGGTCAAGCGACACGGCTTGCGCCCTCGTTGGGCCGAGCACCAGTAGCCTACATGCAATGACAGGCGTCGCGACGGACCAGATGGAGAGAGGGAGGCTGCCGGCGGAGAAGAGGGAGCCCCAGGATGTGGCAGCTCGTAGCTACGGCACGCTCCGGAGGACTCAGCATGCAAGCTGACACTTCGCCGGCCCACCGTGCGTGGGCCGAAGTAAAGATCCCAGCCTACCGCCCCGGCCTCGACTGCACGCGAGGGCTGGGCTAGCGGAGAACCTAGAGAGTTCGGTGCTGGATGCGACCCCGCGCGGACAGCGTGATGATAAGCTCCCGGAACGATCGCAACCCATGGAACCGCCCAGAGAGCTCGGTGAGTACGGTCGATGCCTTGTGCACAGAGCTGAGGACCTGTCCTAGAAACAGAGGGTCTTGCGCCAGTCCCAGCCGGCGCGTGAGACAGACGAGGATCACGGCCGCCGAGAGAGCATCGTACATGTCCAGGAAGGTGCCTCTGACCTGGCTGCGAGATCCCGAGCGAACATAGAGACAGTCTATCAGCTTCCGGCACGAGTCCACCGCGTCTTTCTCGATGTCTGCAATGCTCCCCAGCAGGACTTCGGCATCGCAAGCCTCTGGGCGCGGTAGACGGGCTGGACGATGCGCATGATTGTGCGGCACGCAAGCTGCTCGATGCAGCCGTGCCACTCGGCCGTCGTGATGCGGAGACCTCGTGCGGGCGGACCGGAGTCTCGCCAGAAACACAGGTTGCTGTACGAGAACATGGGGTCCGCCCCGGAAGCGTCCCGCAGGCTCGACATGACCTGTGCCTGGCGGATCAGATGCCGACAAGCAGCCGCCTTGGCCCCGGCTGCGGGTGTGCAAGGGACAGACGACTCGTCGCTCTCTGGCGGGCTCTGGAATACGGCACATTTTGTGGTTAACGCAGCCGACGCGCAGATGGTTCTGCGTCTCTGCTTGGCTCACCTGTATCCCGATGTCGCTATCCTGGATTCTGAACGGCCTGTCCATGACGGAGCTGAACGCACTAAGTACCGGCGGCGTCAGTCAGTCAGAAGACGCAGGGAAGTCGGACCAGTCATGCTGGGCGATACACATCGATCATGCACGTAGAGGGTCTAGAACAGCCACCTCGAGTCGTACTGTTCAGCGCCAGCCAGCGCCTGGTGGGAGCCAGAATCCTTGTGCAGTCCGGCCGAGATACAGGTCTTCATGGCCAGGTCCATCAGAGGCCGAGCCGCCGCTGGGGCTGAAGAGAGAGTAGACCAGAAGCATGCAGATGCAGTGCAGCGCATCCAGCGTGCGGGACGGGTGCAGCGCGAGCCTCAGCAGCCTCACCGCGGACCCGTGCAGGCTTGCGGCTACGTAGGCGAGCCCGGCAGATTCCGCGGACATCATGATGCCGATCACGGCCGCCATCAGCGCGTTGAAGCGGCGCATCGGAGGAACAGAGGCCACCCCGACCGGAGACGGGGCTGCGGCAAGCACCTCTTCGAGATGCTCGAGAAAGCAATCTTCGTCGAGATACGAGGGCACCAGGACATGGATGCTCGAGTTCACGAACCGCTGCACGTGGCTCAGCAGGGCGGCCCGGCTCAGCGGGAGCTGGTGATCGTCGAGCAGTTTGGTGGGCCGCGACGCAGACGCCACGGACGGGTCGTGTCCGGCCACGGCTAGGGCCGCCATGACAACCTCGGCGTGGGCCAGCCGGTGCGGGGCGGCCTCGGTTCTTATCTATGTTTCGCCCTTGTTATGTTTAATAAATAGACTTTCGAGAACGGGTGTCGCTGAGTAAGCAAGTCAGCGATACGACATATGCGTTCATGAATCGAATCTGGGCAAGGCCGTGCCATCACTGCCGGTATCCTCTTTCCACGCTTCGAGAGCAACTATCCACCGATGATAAGTACAATATGGTTAGCGAGTGACGTTCTGTATGTCGTAGATTCGGCTAGAAGCGGTGAGCAATAGGTGGAAGCGCTAGGGGGCCCAACTCACGAAGGCTTGTTCCTCGAATACAACGACGGCGATCGCCGCTGCATTTCCCAAAGGTTGGATCAGAAGGTATGGTAATGCTAGTCGTGAGCTCTTATAAACACAACTTGGAGCGAGGTTGTGTCCAGGCGTTGGAACGGCGGAGCTTGTAGCATGTTTGGGAGCAAAAGTCGAGCCACGCTTGAGGCCTAAGGCGTTAAACCGCTAACTTCACGTGATTAGGCCGCAACGCCGCAAGCGTCTACGTTGTGAACTGGCCCCTGCATGCTCGCGCAGCAACAGCTGCTCTCAATGACTTCCTTTATTATCACCTAATTGGCTGCAAGGAATGACCGCTCAGTAACGTTGCGCCTCAGCACATATCGGCCTTATCAGCCCAGCCCAGCCGAAACGAACCCCTCCCCATTCTCACCACCCGCCCCTCATTTTCCGTTATTCTTTTTGCGGGGTCTTAGCCAGCCTGTCACGCCGCTTCCACTTTCCCCGCCGTCCTCATATCCCCCCCCCTTTTTGCACTAGGTTGTGACCCTAAAGGCTGACCTTTCCCACTCATGAACAAACCGCCCACCAGCTATCTTGACAAACATGGCCGACAACTCTAGGACGAGAATTAGTCCGAGCCACCCTGCGGCAGATCTCGCCCCAAGGTCGTCTGACCAGGTGGTACCAATTCCCGCAAGCCCTGTCGATAGTTCAACACACCTTTCGGCTACTTTTTGCACGACACTCGTGCTGATGCTGACAACTTTGTACGTAATCAAAGACGGTGGACGACGATAACGATTCTGCGCTTGATGTAGTAACGATCTCCTTCCACCTTATTTTCCACCGACACTCTCGCGCAAAGTCTTCGAGGAATCTGCGTCCTTGCCCTAGGTTTTGACATGTGTTGACTAATGGAGCACAGAACTCCATTGGCGGGGACAGTGCTTCCCTAGCGTCAAGTATCCTCAAATACCGCATGGAGAACGGTCGGGCCTACCATGCTTTCAAGGCAGGATGCAAGTATCCCTGTGCCCGTGCAAGGACCGAAAGGTGTTAGTGCTGGGCCAGAGCATCATATGCTAACTGGGTGGGTGCTCGACAGCCTATATCCTCCCCAACGATGAGGTAATAAACGCCCTGGGGCCATTATTTCCCGCGCAACGTACCAAAACAGGGATACTGATTGGCATTTTCTCTTTTTAAATTACTCCCTCAGCTCGAAAATGAGCGTCTGAGTATGCCGTATTTTACACTGACGTAAGTGTATTTATAAACCGCGTCTGTTACTGAAAGAAGTGCGGTGAAATTCAGATCTCCAGCACGCATTGTGCGTTTTAACCACCGACCACCAGCTTTACATCTGCCCCGCCGGCAAGGGTAGCCACCAGATTCATCGCTGCCTGGATGCTGGATGTGGAACGGGCATCTGGGCCATGGACTTTGGTATGTCCGACCTTTGCATCCAAGGTTGTATCGTGGAGAAATATATACTGACAACGCTCGGATGCAGCCGACGAGCACCCAGAAGCACATGTAAGAGAAGTCAGCATTGTCGATTCCGCCAGAACATTGGCTTCAACGATTCCATAAGCACTAGCTCCATACAGGTGATCGGGGTCGACCTTAGCCCCATCCAGCCATCATTGTACGTTAAACTATATAAACATTGTGGGACCAGGGATGATTTCTGACGATAGTTTGCTAACGATGAAAACCGTGACGGCCTATGGTGGTCACCAGTGTGCCCCCAAACGTCACTTTCTATGTTGACGATCTCGAGGCGGAATGGACATACAACCAGCCCTTCGATTTTGTTTATACGCGTATGATGTCGGCCTCAATCGCGGACTGGCCAAAGCTGTTCGGGCAGGTTTTCGAGTAGGCGGACTGACTATTTTTTTTTACACCTTTGGACATGCGTTTGCCTGCGCAGAGACCGATATAATATTGACCATCGATCTCCCAGGAACCTCTCTCCTGGAGGCTGGATCGAGCTCCTCGACCCGGTTTCACCGATATACTGTGACGATGGGACGCTCCCCAAGGACAGTGCGATTTACCGGTGGAGCAACCTCCTGGCTGAGGCGGCCGCCAAGTTGGGCAGCCGGCTGGACTCGGGTCTGACTTATAAGGACCAACTTCTCGACGCTGGCTTCACGAACGTGGTACAGACCACGTACAAGTGGCCGATTAACGCCTGGCCCAAGGACCCAAAGCATAAAGAGCTCGGCGCCTGGAGCTACGAAAATACCATGCAGGCTCTCCAGGCAATCAGCTTGGCTCTTTTCACCCGCGCTCTGAACTGGACTGTCGATGAGCTCGAGTTATTCCTAGTCGAAGTCCGCAAGGACCTGCGGAATTAGAAATATCCACGGATACTATCGCATGTAAGTTGGGCCCAAAGTCGATGCACCTTTCGTCTTGGTATTGGTTGGCCGCTAACCGTTGACCACTGTTGAAATCCTCAACCGCAGCTTCGTCACTTATGGCCAGAGACCGGAGTGAGGCAGATTTTCCACTAGCCTAACGGTTAGATAGGAATTTGAGGCCCAGGTTTATATTCTCAATACCTAGTTAAGGAGACGTGGGGCGGTGAAGGCAAGTTGCCATATGTGCAAACTCGGGTTTTCCCCGTCCGGGATGTAATCCGCTAGTTCAAACCAGCTCAAGGAAGTCTAGGGCTAGGGAAGCACGAGAATCCTTCCGGACCGAAGCGGGCAGTCTTGCCGGCATCGACATCATGTTCGCCAACGTGGGCTACATGGGCAATTTGGTCTCGGGTGCGGCTGCCGAGGAGATCGCGGGTTCTCGTCGAGTGATTGGATGGTAGTCGCCAGATGCTCGTGGTTTTTTCTCGAGCGCGCCGAACGGTGTTCCGCGAAACCTTCTCCGAAAGAGGGAAGAGGAGAGAAAGGGAAAGACAGAAAATGCGAGGGCGGCATCGTCATTTCCACGAGCTCGAGGATCTACTTGATGGGCCGGTTAGTATTTGGCGGCGTAGGGTCTAGGCCCCACTGGCGCCAATCTTGGGCCAGTTTGCCGAGAATGGCTGGCTGGCTACACCCGGGGGACAAAAGTACCGCTCGCTTTTCCAAAAAAAAATTCAACGCCAAATTGCGCAAGGAATACCAGCGCCCCACAATATATATTAAAAAGTAACTTTTATTATATAATACTTAACTTGTTTTTATATACATTTTAATTTTAATTTTATTAATTTCCTTTATATTTAAGGTATAAAAAAATAAAAATAAAATATATATTTAAAACGTACTATATTTTTAAATGGAAATAATAAGCTAAAAATATATATAATGTAGGAAGGACTCTGGGGTGGAGTCCTATGCTCGTGGATCTCCAAACGGCGTAAAACTGAGGTTTGATAATTATCAAAAGGTAGTTAAGTCAAAGTGTTGTTATTCAGGTTTAAGGAGGAAGGAATCTTCCTGAAAGAGAGGGACGGATCCGACCTCCTTATATAGGTACAAAGGAGCTCTGGATGGCCGGTGCACAGATCCCGGATCTGTGCATGGCGATCCTCCAGAGCCTGTGCATGCGCTTGACAGGTAGGTTCCAACATATAACCTTAATTTAAAAATTTATACACGTAGTATTTAATAAGCAGTAAATTATATAAATTAATTATATATATATATATAACATATTGTTATTAATTAGTTATTAATTTTATAAAATACTTTTTTAATATATAAATTTTAACATTTAATTATTTATTTAATTATTAAATAACCGGTTCGTTTAAAAAATTTAAAAAGAGGGTATATGTTAGCTTTTTTATTTAAATTTATAATAAAACTTACCTCACTTTAATGCATGCATTTGGGGTAAAGTTATAGCATTTTAAAGTGGTAGCGTTAAAATAGGTAGCGAGCGGTATTTTTGTCCTCCCACTGTAGCTGCAGCCTGTGGCTGACGTTAGCACTGAAAGTTAGCCCTACTGGCTGCCAATGGCTGAGACCATGCACTGGCCAGATTCCGGGGCGCTCGGAACTGGAATCCAGACTCGATGGTTTCTGCCCTGGGAAAACGCGCCGTCCTATCACGAAGGAGCATGCGCTGGAGCTCCAAAGTAAACGGCACAATTATGTTACATTGCGTGCGCGCACTGCGTGGCATCAATCAGATAAGGAAGGGATCAGACGACAAGGGCTCGAGCCTTCCTGCCGGGTGCCGATCCTCCAGACGAGACTTGCATGTTTGGGTAGGACGCAGGGGGGCGGGTCTAGGCGTCATTATTCAGAGCCTCCTCTCTCCCCTTGCCGACGAATTCTCGGGGGCTTTTCCTTGGCGCCATGGTAGGGACCAGAACCTTCCGTTCTGGAAGCAGGACGAGGCAAGGTCAATTCGGTAGCGTTCTCGCACGACAGCAGCCGCATTGCATCCGCGTCGGACGACGAAACCGTTAAGATCTCGGACGCGGAGAACGGCACCTGCATCTCGGTCGACGACGACGTGACTCATCCAGGCTCAGTCTTGTTGCGTTAGACTGAGGGCGCAGGACTTCTGCAGGTAGAGAGGCAAGTAGATTTTTAAATCCAGAGCGGCGCGGTGGCCGGGGACGCTACAGTGTCAACAGTATTCGATCCTCTTCGTTGCTGGGATTTCATAAACACAATGTTAAAGAATTATCCAAAAACGCATTGGCTTCATACCTGGATGTATCAATCAGGAGGTGGCCACAGACGCGAGACGAGCGCGGTGCGACGCGTGCTTCCAGACGGGTGACGAAACGCATGGCGGCAAAGGAGCTGATTAACTGAGAACGCGAACCGTCCCACTGGTTGGTGGCAACAAAACCGCTGCGCTGCTGGCACACGGCGCAACACAAGGGCAAATCGCTGTCGAAAGTCGGAGACGACTTCACGCCGACGCTACGTCCTGTCTATCATATCGAATTGCTGCCTACAGCTGTGCCGCGTCATAGTTGCGCCCGAAGCCTCTGTGCTACATTCGTTCTCGGAGCGTTCATCCACGACATCCCAACATGGCGTCATGGCGCAAGCTCTACATCCGTCCAGGCCGACCGCGACGGACGACCTTGTCCGACGACTGCGGAGCGGTACCGATCCGAAGGAGTCCTACGCTCTACAGGCCTTGGCAAAGGAAATAATCAAGATCTTCGGAGATGAGCGCCGTCCCTCGCACGTGCCAGAGGCCGCTGCGCTCGCCACCCTAGTAGTTACCAAAATCTGTCCCGGGCGTTCAGCAACGCTATGATTCACGGTACAACAGACGGCAATTTCCTCGAACCCCAGCCCCTGGAGGCTTTTGTGTCTGGATACGGCAGCAGGCGGCGTAGGAATACCACATTTAATGCACACATATGGCCCAGAAGACCCTGCCCAGCTCCGAAGCGGCCCGGTACCCTGGCTCGAACTTGGGCGGAACATTTCGAGGCACGTGTCGATATCAAACGCCAAAAAGCCAACATGGGACCGAATGAACGAAATTTAAAGCGTCCTATTCATAATTAGCCACGAAATTTACAAAAGGGATTACGTACATACTTTGTAAGGAGGACTTGGGGGTGGAGTCCTTTGCTCGCGGAGCTCCAAACGGCATAAAACTAAATTTTAATAATTATTAAAAAGTAAATTAAGTTAAAGTGTTGTATTTAGGTTTAAAAAGGAAAAAATTTTGCTAAAAAAAAGGAACGGATCCAACCTTTTTATATAAAAAACAAAAAAGCTTTGGTTGCTTGGTGCATAAATTAAGGATTTATGCATGGAATTCCTTTAAATCCCGTGCATGCGTTTAATTAGTGGGTTTTAATACCAATTTTTTTTTTAAAGCGCATATATAATATTAAAAAAAAGGAAATTTGCGGTTTAAATGCGCAATAATAAATAATTTGCTAAATTTGTATTTTGGTTAATATGTAAAAAAAATGTTTGTTTGGATTGTTTCGCCGGATTTATGTTATTATTAAACAATAAACGTGGATGGAATTTTACGCTATAAAGCTGGAAGCCCGGGAATAAAATTAATATATTATAAATTTTTTATATAAATTTGCTGCCCTTTTTATTTATCGGTTAATAAAAAAGGCACTAAAATATGCGTGTTTTACCTGATACGTACTTTGTTTACCAAATTATATTTACTACGCTAGTTAAGCTATGCTTACCAGGCCAGCCTTGCTTATTACCTGGGCATAACATTAATAATCGGTAATTTTCCAATTGTTTATCGTGCTGCTATAAAGTTTTTTGCCGAAGCGCTAAGCAATAAGCTTTATAATGCGGTATATTATTTTTATCTTATGTATTTTGTGCTTTACAATTTCGTTAACGTGTTACAACCCAGCAGCTGTTACAGTTAGGCCTTTGCTTTTAAGGTAAGGCACCGGAGGAGTATCGAACAATAGCACGTAATTTGACAAATTGAGGGGATTTACAAGGTAACCTGGGTGCGGTTTGAATGCTTGCTCCAAAGGTTATTTGGAAGCTAACTAAAATTTAACTAATGCCAAAGCCTTAATTAAGAATTACTTAAGACAGTAGGAAATCCTTTCCTTTTTATACCTTAATAATTGTTCCTTTGGGGTTATGGATTAGTTGGTTTACAAAGCTAACTTAACGAGCTTTTTTAAGCTTTTTTTAAATTAGTGGCTTACTTTTTTTGCTTTTTTAATTTATTAATTCCAGGTGGTTACGTAATTCTTTACTTTTTATAAGGTTCCCGCGTTGTGCTACCTTTCCTTTTTGGCCAAAAGTGGTTGTTGGTTGTAACATTAAGTTCCTTTTCCAATGGCTAAGCCCTTTTGGCTACGTATTATTATTTTTTTTGCCTTTTTGTTAATTATAAGTACTTTTTTTCCTTATTATTTAACCGTTTCCTTTTTTTAATAAAATGTTCGGGCAAATTTAAAAACGTTCGGTTCGGAAAATTATCCAACGGTACGCTTTGCTATTTGCCGTTTTTAACTTTCGATTTTAATGCCTTTTTATTTTATTTATAAAGCCGTTGGTTTTCCTTTTTATTAAATGTTTTCGAAAAATTCCTTTTGTTATGCCGAATGCGTTCGTTTGGAACGTGCTTGGTGCAACGTTTTAAAGTTTTTTTTTAACCAATTGCGCAAAATTGCTAAGCAATATTCCAAGTTAAACGCCGAACTTGCTATTGCTAAGCGATTTTGCCGTTAGGCTGAAAAATTAATGCGTGCTAAAAGCGACCGGGTTTAACGTTTGCGCATTTAAAAGGATTTATGGTTTAAAAAAATAATGCGCGTTATTTGCCAAAAAATTAACAGCGTTAAGGAATTAAAGCGGGTGGAACGGGAAAAAAAAGCGCAAGCTATTGCCGGAGCGGCGGCCAGCCCTTTTTTTTGTTTTAACCCGATTTCCTTTTTTTGTTTTTTATTTAAGCAACGTTAAAGGTTAATCCTAACTTTAACCCGCTGGCCTTTTTTTAATTTGGTAAGTTGTAATTCTTTTAACAATTCCTTCCGGTTATGTGGCGCAGTGGTAGCGCGTTCGCTTTTGTAGCGGGAAATTTTGGGTTTAATTCCCGGTGCGACTTAGTTAAATCGATATAATCGGCTTGTTTGGCCGATCGTATCGGCTTGATTTTTTTCTTTTTTTTTTGCTAATTCCGAAGGTTTAGGGTTTGGTGTCGACCTTAAATTGCTTGCGCTCTTTTAATTTGGTAAGTTGTAATTCCTTTAACAATTTCCATAAGTTGTATGGCGCAGTGGTAGCGCGCTTGTTCTTGTAACGGGAGGATTTGGGTTCGATTCCCGGTGCGACTTTGAATTTTCCTTGCTTAACCTTTGGTTGGCGAGGAAGGTTTTGCTTTTTTTTTTGCTTAAACCTGCTAGCTTATCCTTTAAATATGCTGTAAGTGTTGGAACAGCATTGCGGTGCGCGTGCGATCCGGAAAGGGAGGTTGTTACAAGAGGCTCTGGGATCCTCCGGATCCCGCACGGGCCAACTTTATCTGCCTTAGGCAGAGCAGGGAACCACCCTTTGGGTAATCGTCCCTGCGCATATAAGGGGCAATCCTGTGCCTTTCTTTTAGCAAATAGATTCCTTCCTCGGTGTGCACAATAATAGTATTTTCCCCAAATCATTAAAATCGTTATTTACCTTTACCAGGAGATTTCCGAGCCTTAAAACAGGAGTACCAAACTTTTACTAACAGTAAGGTCCTTTTTCCTTTGCTTACCAAATTCCTCCGAATTTGGGGCGTTTCGCAAGCTCCAAAGTTATTGCTAACTTTTTTTTAAGCAATACTTTTGCAAAGCCTTTTGGCAGTTCCTAAGGTTTGTTATGTTTTTTAACGTGTTGTGCTTATCCCTTTATCTTTTTTACTTAACAAAATATTGCTTTTTGCGGTAACGCGTTCGCTTGTTAAAAATGGCCTTAATTTTTTACTTTTGGTTGGGGTTAATTTTTATTAATTTAATGCTTTTAAAGCCCGAAAGCGCTGGTTTTAACAAAAAAACGTAAAAAATTGGGTGGATTTGCATGGTTGGTAATAGTTAAAATTTATAATTTACCGGAAAAATAATACGGGTAACCCGAAAGGGTTCCTATTTTTTTTGTCCAGCTTGTTGCTTGGCTTTTTTATTTTAATATTAGCGCGTAAAAGGTAAGCGTTATCCTTTTTTTTAAAGGTTGGTTTTTCGATCCTTTTTTTATTGGTTTGTTTTGCCATTCGGTAGCGCAAATTTTCCAATTTATTTTAAAGGTTTTGGTATAGCTTGGTAAGCTTTATTATTTGGATTTTTGCTGTTAAGGCTTTAGGTTTGGCTTTGGGCTCGTTGTACGCCGTAAGGGTGTACCCATAATTGGCGTAAAACGGCGTTTCCTTTGTACTTTTATGTATAAAGCTATTGTAAGCGAATTGGGCAATTGGTAATAATTGGACCCAATTGTTTTGCTTGTAAGTAATATAATAATGCAAGTATTGCTTTATCGTTTTGTTGGTTTGTTATATTTATCCATCCGTTTGGGGGTAATACGTTGTTAATAAAGTATATTTTGCTTTAAAAAGCGTTGTAAGCGTTTTTTAAAATTTGTTTGTAAATAGCTTGTTTTGGTTTGTAATTAGTTTTTGCAATATCCCGTGGTTTGCTATTACGTGCCGAAAAAAAGCGTAAGCCAAAGTTAGCGCATCGTTACTTTTTTTGTAAAGTAAGTACAAAGCATATTTTGTAAGCCTATTTATTATTACCAATATATTGTTATATTGTATTTTTGTTAAAAGCTTTTTGGATTTAAATAATTTAACGATAAAATTTATGGTAATTTTTTGCTATGCCTTTTTAAGCGCTGGTAAAGGTTAAAGCAGCTTATAAAGGAAATGCTTGCTAAATTTATCCTTAGCGCATATTTAGCAATCCTTTATTACTTTTAGCATTGCTGCCCGAATTCCGGTAAACCCGTAATGCTATTGAAGCTTTTTTTATGTTTTGGTGGCTTTTAAGTGGCTATAAGCTGGCAGCTTATGGATTTCCAAAATCTTTTTTGGGGTTTAATTTTGCTTTTTGGTTGTTAAGGTTATTGCTTGCTGGGCTGGGACCAATGCTTTTTTTTAGCTTAAAGGCCAAAAGCGTTTTGGTTTTTTTTAAAATAACGATTTTATGGTTGCTCCGTTTGCTTAAAGCGTTTGCCTTTCCGTTTTCCAACCTTTTTCGGTATAAAATTTAAAGGTTATAATTTTAAAAATACTAGCTCCAACGGATTTAGCGTTTGTTAAAGTTTTGGCTTGTAATAAAATGTGCTAAATTTTTGTGGTTAATATATACCGTTATTTGGTGGTTTGCTTTACATAAATATACTTTCCATTTTTTTAAAGCTTTAATAATAGCGAAAAGCTTTTTATTATGGATTTGGTAATTTAATTTAAGTTTTTTGAATTTTTGTAAAAAAAAAAGCGCAAAGGTGCAACCTTTTTTCCTTATTTCGTTAATTTAATTGTTTTTCGATCGCGTAATTTAATGCGTTGGTTTCGATTTTAAATGGTTTGTTAAGGTTCGGGATAACCAGTATTGGTTCCCGTAAAATAACGTTTTTAAATTGCTTAAAAGCAATTTGTTTTCGAGCTTTCCAATAAAATTGGGTGTTGTTTTTGGTAAGGTTTGTAAATAGCGTAGCGCTATTATTAAACCTTTGCATAAACCGTTGATAAAAGTTAAAAATTTTTAAAAACGCCCGTACTTTTTGTACGTTAATAAACGCCGGCCAATTGGTTATTTCCTGTATTTTGGCTGGGTTTATTTTAATTTTTCCTAGCGTAATAACGAACCCGAAGAAAATTATTTTTTAAGCGTACCATACGCATTTGTTCGGGTTAATTAAAAGCTTTGCGTTTTGCAGCTTTTGCAATATTTGGTGCATTTGTTATTTGTGCTTTTTTAGCGTTTTTAAATATATTAAAATATTGTTTAAATACGCTAAAACGAAAATGTTAAAATGCTTTCGAAGCACGTGGTTAATTATTCGCTAAAACGTGGTTAGCGCGTTGGTAAGTTCGAAAGTTATAACCAACAATTTATACACGCCAAACCGTATTTGGAAAGTTGTTATCCATTTTTGGCCTTTTTTAATTCGAAGCAATTTATATGCTTTTTAAAGGTTTAAAGCCGTAAAGTACCTGGCTTTACCGAGCTTGTTGCGTAATTCGTTAATAAAAAACAAAAAATATCGATTTTTTATTGTAATTTTGTTTAATAATTGGTAATCGATGCATATTCGTTCCTTTTTGTTTTTTTTGGGCACAAATAAAATTCCGTATTTTATTGGAAATGTCAAAGGTTTAATTACCCCTTTTTTTAAATTCTTTTGTAATTGCTTTTTTAACCTTTTTTGTTGTTTAAAGTTAAATTGGTACAATTTTTAATATTTAAATTGCGTATTTGGTTTAAATTTAATTTTGTAATTAAACGGCCCGTATTTTGGAAGCACCGTTTTTAGGTTTTTTTGGAATAATTTCCAATACTTATGGTACTTTAAAAGTACGTTGGTTAATTGTTATAGCCTTTGCTTAAATTTACCGTAAAGCGTTGTTATAATTTTTTGTAATAAAGTTCGAAAGTTGTTGCTTTGCTTTGTTTCCGTTAAAATATTTTTTTTCGGCTTTATTTTTACATTGCTTGCGGCCCGCGGTTATTGGGCTTTTTTAATTGCTAGTAAAAGCTTTTATTAAAAATTGTTTTTTTTAATTAATTTTTAAATTATGCTTTCGTAGCTACGGGATTTTAAAAACCACATTTTCGTCCCGTATTTCCAACGCGTCCAGCGTTATTTGGAAGGTTTTGTTTCGGTATTAAAAATTAAAATAATTAATTTTAATATTAATCCATTTGTTGTTATATTTAATTGGCTTTCCTTTTATTATTGTAAAAAAGTATGGTTTATCCTTTTTGCGTATAGGAATACCGTATCGTAACATTGCTTATAATAATACGTAATTGCTTTAAATATTGCAATCGATTAATGTTTTTAAGCAATAAAAGCTTTATCGTACCCATATGTAAAAATATTGCTCGTTTAAACTAATTGTTATTGCTAAAGTTTTTGTTGCAAATGGTTATCCTTTTTGTAGCTTTGGTACAAACAAATTCTTTAATTTTTTGTTTCGAAATGTTCCGTTTAAAGCTTAAATGGGCTTATTTTCCATTTTTTACGTACCCTTATATATTTTAGGTTGTTAAGGTTGCTAAAAAGTTTATACAAGCTTTTTACATCCTTGTTGTACCGTATTGGTATGTATAAAAATTTATATTTTATTTGCTATGCTTCGGTTTTTTGCATAATGTGGATTTGGCATTCCAATTTTTTGCATTTTTGCTATTTTAAAATTTTGGCAATGCAAAGCATAAGCCATTAAAAGTTGGTTCGAAATACCGTTAACTTTCCGTACTTTTTAATAACAAACTATTTGGGTAATTGCTATACTAGCTTAAATTTAATAATTCGTTGGTTTGTTAATAAAAAAAAAAGTCGTTTCGAAGCTTTTAAATTAAATGTATTGCATAATTCGTAGCAAAGCACTTTTTCCAAAATAATTACAAATGCTTTTGGTAATTGGGCATAAAGCTATTATGGTTTTTTTTTTTGGTGCTGCTTCGTAACCTTTTAGCTTATTTTTAGCTATATGCTTGCAACCGGGTATACTTTCGGTACGTAATTGGGTGGTTGTTACCAAGCTAGTTAATAAAACGTTTAAAGTTATTTTTGGTTAATGTAATTTCGTAAAAAAGTACCGTTTTCGTTTAGCAAATTAACGTTTTAAAAGCGCCGTTAAATTTTAGCTTTGCTTTAAGCTTTTTCGCTTTTTTGGAATTATTCGATTACGGTTTTTAGGCGTGCTAAGTACAAACTTTTTTTTTGCTTTTGCATAGCAAACCCGCTTTAACGGAATGCTTTGTAGCTAGTTTAATTTAATATTGCTGCGCATGCATATGCTAAGCCGTCGGTTTTAATTACAACAAATTGGTTATGGTTTAATTTGTTCCTTTTTAGCTAACGTTTAACTTGCGTTTAAAAATCCTGTAAATTAATGCTTTAATTGCGTTTTAATTTATACCTTTATTAATACCGTTTTTAATATGCTGCCCGTATGTATTTTTGCAAAACGCGGGCGTTTTTAACGTACCGGCGGAAATTATTTAAACTTCCTTTATTGCTTTTTTTTTCGAACCCGTTGCTTTCGAACGTTACCCGTTCGTAAAAACTTTTATTTGCTACCCAAGCTTTAATTGGTTTAAAAATAGCAAAGTCCGGGTTTTGGAAAATTTTTACAATATTTCCCATAATTGGTTTATTTTTTTCTTTGTTGCTTTTTGGTTCGAAATTGGAAATTAAATTGGGTTTGGCCCAAAATTTTGGGCTAAACCTTTGTTAAATTGCTTCGTTTTTAAAGTTTTGCCCTTTAACAAAAGCGTTTAACACTTTTTTTTGTTCGGCAATACGCAAAAGCTATTTTTAAAGTATTTCGTTTTGTAGCTTGGGGTCCTTTCGAAGGTTTTTGTTAATTTAAGCTTGGTTATTTTTGTTATTGGAACCGGTTAAATTATTATTGCAAATTGCTATAAGGTTTTTTCGTTTGGTTATAACCAATTGTTTGCAAAAAAACCACCTTATTGCGTTTTTGTTGGAATGGTAAGCAACGCAATGGTTGTTCGTATATGCAATTTAAGAAAACGCCGGGCCAAAATAACCGTTATCCTTTAAATTTATCGTTCTTTTTTTGGTTGCTACTGCTGCTTTGGGTTTATTGCTTTAAAATATATTTTTTTATTCCTTTTTTTAAAAGCAATTTTTTTTAATGTGCCTAAATTATTTATACTAAAAGCATTTGCCATTTTTAAAGTTTTGGAATTTGCGCTTTCTTTGCTTTTAATACGTAGCGCCGGCGTTAAAATCCATGGGGCCAAAATAATAACTATAAGTTATGAATTTGTTGCGGTTAAACCGTTGTTGCGGTTAGTTGCTTTATATTACAAATTTAATTTTTTGGCTTTTTTTTTTAAGCGGCGCTCGTACAATTTATCGCTGGTTTTAATTACGATAGCAATGTATTTAGCAAAAAATTTGGGTTGGTTAACCTTTAAAACTTCGTTTTTTACGTTATTTCGAAACTTATTGTACAAATGGGCCATTTTGGTTTGGTTGGTTTAGTTAAGCTTGTTAATAAAGCGTTAAAAGTTGGAAACGTATCCTAACGCTGCGCTTTTTTGTTAAAATTAAAAATTTTTTTTTCGGTAATTCGCTATTCGTTAATTTGGTTAAATACGTTAGTAACTTTTTTTTCGAACCGGGCGAAATTAGCAAAAACAACCTATATTTTTTTTGCTTTCGTTATAACTTTTAAAAAAGTTTGTTTATCCGGGCTCGAATTATTCTTTTACTTTACTTTTAAAGCAAATGGCCGCGTAAGCAACTTTTTATTTTTTAATTGTAAATTAAATTTGGTAAAAAGCGAAATACTTTCGATATTTGGTTAGGAAAGTTTTAAAAGTGCTTTTTTTGCCGTTGTACCGGTTAAAAGTAAGGAATTTATAAATTCGAACCGCCGTTTGCGGAACGCTAGCTTATTGCTTAAATTGGGTAAAATTTGCGGTTATAGCTATAAATGCGGCTTTGGCTTTAGTTACCTTTGTTATGTTGTAAGTTTTGCTTGCGTAATTAAAATGCTTGTTATTCCTTTTTGTAAAGGATTCGCCGCTTTTGGTTGCCATTGTTACTGTTCGGTACCGGTTCGGGTGCTAAACAAAATTAGTTAAAATGTTACAATTAAGCTTTTGCTTTTAAAGTAAAGCACCGGAAAAGTATCGAACAATAGCACGTAATTTAACAAATTAAAAGGATTTACAAAGTAATTTGGGTGCGGTTTAAATGCTTGTTCCAAGGGTTATTTGGAAGCTAATTAAAGTTTGATTAATGCCAAAGCCCTAATTAAAAATTACTTAGGATAGTAAAAAATCCTTTCCTTTTTATACCTTAATAATTGCTTTTTTAGGGTTGTGGATTAGTTGGCTTACAAGGCTAACTTAACGAGCTTTCCTAAGCTTCCTTTGGATTAGTAGCTTACCTTTCCTGCTTTTTTGATCCATTAATCCCAGGTAGTTACGTAACTTTTTACCCTTTATGGGGTTCCCGCGTCGTGCCACCCCTCCTTTTTGGCCAAAGGTGGTTGTTGGTCGTAACAGCAGCAAAGCTGGCATCAAGTTACAAGAAAAGGCTTGGGGGAAAGCAAAAAGCGGGGTCGTTCCTTGGTTACGTAACCCAAGCAGGTAATATGTTAAAGATTAACATATTAAGCATTAACGGTAATATAAAGGATATAAACATATTTTACATATTAACCCTTTTAAAAAAACGCTTGGGGTATAAAAAGGAACGGTTTTTTATTGTTATAAGTAATTTTTAACTAAAGTTTTAGCATTAATTAATTTAAGTTAGCTTCCAAGTAGCCCTTGGAGCAAGCATTCAAACCGCACCCAAATTACCTTATGAATTCCCTTAATTGTCCAGTTACGTGCTACTATTCAGTACTCCTTTAGTGCCTTACTTTAGGAGCAAAGGCTTAACTGTAACAACGGTTTGGCAAAAAGGAAGAATACTAAAGCTTTAGGGTATAAAAAGAAAGGGTTTTTTTAATTTTAAATAGTTTTTAACAAATGCACCGATTATTCGAATAATATTCTGGCCTTTTTCCGGCATTTATTTGGCGCATGCAATAAGGGAAAAAATTCACTTGTTTTGGGCCAAAAAAGGATATAATTATAAAGTTTGGGCCTTTGTAAGCCCCGTGGCTTGGGCTTGTAGCTTGTGCCCGTGGCTTGGCCCCAAGGCCAAGCCTTTGTATATAAACCCTACCTTTGGCACCCCTTTGGCGCCAAAAGTTCTTTTTTTTTATACGCAATACAAATGACCTTTTAATTAAACCAATTAATAGGGTTTGTTGCGTGTTACCCGTGGGATTTTTCCCAGCGGGGAAGCCTCCGTGCCCGGCTTATTTAAGCGAACAAAAAGGTGCTTAATGCTAATTAATGCAAGTTAATTAATATTAAAAGCTTCGTATTACCCTTTGGGGAGGGTAATATTAAGCTTAAAAACAATCCGTTATTTAGCAGCGCATGTTTTAATAAGCGTTGCAATTTCCAAAATGGGTTAATTTGTTAATTTTTAAATTTTCGTAAACTTTTGGCCAAATCGTGGCTACTTTTGGAAAAAGGCGTTGCGTGGCCCCTGAAGGGACCGATTTGTAACTTTTTAAGCCATAAAGGCTTCCGGACCAAAAGGTTACTTGCACAAAAGCGAGCAGCTCCTTTACCCACAAGCAATAGCTTCGGCTATTCGGCAAGGCTTTGGCTATTCGACAAGCACCCCCAATACCGATAATCCGGCACGCACGCACGCACGCACGCACGCACCAAGCCACCACCAAGATCGAAACGCTCCTTCCGGCTTGCACTTTGGCCGGAGGCTTGCATGCGCACAAATAAAAAGTTGCCTGTATTGGAATAATATTCCGGCCTTTTTCCAGCATTTATTTGGCGCATGCAATAAAGGAAAAGATTTATTTGTTTTGGGCCAAAGGAGGGTATAATTATAAGGTTTGGGCTTTTGTAAGCCCCGTGGTTTGGGCCCGTAGTTTGTGCCCGTAGCTTGGCTCCAAGGCCAAGCCCTTGTATATAAACCTTACCTTTGGCACCCTTTTAGCGCTAGAGGTTCTTTTTCCTTATGCTTAACACAAGCATGCACAATATAGGACCTTTCCCCAGATTACAGAGATCTTTGTTCATTACTTTTGGAAATTTCTGAGCCGTTTAACAGGAGTACCAAGCTCTTACCAACACCGACATTAATTAATTTAAGTTAGTTTTTAAATAACATTTAAAGCAAGCATTTAAGCCGCACCCAAGTTATTTGTAAATCCCTTTTAATTAATGAGTTACGTGCTACTGCTTAGTGCTTTTTTAGTGCCTTACTTTAAAAGCAAAGGCTTAACTGTAATACGCGCTACAATTTACGCGCTACAATTTACGCGCTACAATCTTAAGTAGCACATTACGATCCGGGTTTTATTTGCGAGGTTTATGCAACCAAATTAGCAATTTCCTATTTTATTATAGTGCTTACAAATTTAATGCATTGGGTTTTACCTTGTTTAGTTAAAGCGTGCACCTTTTTATTTCCGGGCCAAGCGCGCCTTTTCGAAAGCAAACTTTTTTTTTCGTTGCTTTGTATCATTATTTTATTAACCAATTTTGTTATTGGGATTGCATTTATTGTATCGGTACTGTTATTTTTCGTATTTTCGATTTCGGCGCTATTTTTTCAATAGCTTATCGGATTTATTTCGGGCTTAAAATCTTTTTTTTTTTTTGCCTTTATAAGCCCGTGCGTTCATAATTCGTATGTGCTTATAGGGTTTAAAGGTAAGGAACCCTGCTAACGAGCTACGAGTGGCTTCGTTAAAGTTAAAGGAAAGTTGCATATGCATTTGCAATGGGGCTTGTCGATATTAATAAGGGCTTCGTTGTTATTTATGGGTCGTTTCGTTGTGGGGACCAGCGTTTGGAGAAACGTTGGGTGGTTTAAGGCCATCGATTGCATTATACGCGCGCGAACAAAAAGCCTGGTAACCTCGACAGGATTCGAACCTGCACCCTCCGAAGAGAGTCTCCTGGCGCTGAACCACTGCGCCATGAGGCCAAAAATGGGTAATATAAAAGCAAAGTCGCGAAAATTTGCAGGTTAAAAGCAGAATAGGAATGAGATTGTAAAGTCGAAAGTACGGAAAAAGAACGTCGTGGGAGCAGCGCTTTTTTTTATTTTGCTGCCCGAGCCAGTGTGGGGCGCAAAGGTTGAAATTCGGCGCTAACCCGAATTGGGAGAGCCGCTAAACCCGGCGGGCAGAACACCACTTTCCAGATTACAGCCGCATTTTGGGTGTCGACTTCGAGTAACACCTCATGTATATTGCACAAGCGCCAGGACCAAGCAGGGGCCAAACCCATCTTCTCCCTTCCCAGCAAACGGCAGTGGATTTGAGGCGGATGACTACGCAACATTCGAGCAGACGTGGGAAAGACACTGGATCCTCTACCGCAAACCGGCCATGACACAGTCCGGCCCGTTCGGCCTCCATGGGGGCCACCATTGGCATTGCCATCGGCATCGCGTGCGCCATCCTGCTCCCATTTACACTGCATGTCGTGGCGCGCTGTCGCCGAAGAGACGCCAAGCGAGGCACCAAGGAGGGACCAGACTCCGAGAGTTTCCCTCTGATGGCTCGTTCCTCGTATAGCGACTTGGAGGTCTTGCCTGAGATGGACCCCCAGGTCACGTCGCACGACATCAGCTACCCTCTCGCGCACGAGCTCAGCGCAGATTGCGTGCCGAGCGAGCTGCCGGAAAGATCACGGACCCCTATCTCACGGAGACGGAGCATTTAACTGCTGAGATTGTGGAGGTTAGGAGGGCAAGGGCGGTTTGGTGGAGATCAATATGGTCATCCTAGGATTTGACGTAGAATAGACACAACTAGCTATCCATTAGCATATAAAAACGACTTGTTCCTTTGTTCCGTCCCCCAAATCGATGAAAGACGCAAGGACACGAAGCGCACGAGCTCATATCAGTTCCCCTAAGCCCTCTTCCTAACCCCGCGGCCGTCGTCCACCACACAGCCCGACAGCCCGACGCCGGCGAGGAAGGCGACGCGCAGGCACCAGTCCCAGGCGACGATTCCCAGGCTGCCCCAGTCCTCGGCGCGCCAGGCGCGCGGGTCGGCTCGGCCCTGGGCGGCGACGCTGGTGAAGTAGCTCCACAGCATGACACTGTCGACGGCGAGGGTGGAGGCCTGGGCGACGCGCCAGACGCGCAGCTCGCGCGTGGCGCGCGGCAGCAGCGCGCTCAGCACGCCCGAGCCCAGGTACCAGGCCGCAACGTGGTGCAGCAGCTGGCCGTAGAGCGGCGGCAGCGGCGCGGCGGCCTGCATGGCGGTCGGGAAGAAGGCGGTCAGGATGATGCTGGGCTTGGCCAAGGTTGCGACGGTCTGGTTTGCGAGGTGGGGGATGCGAGTGGTTAGAGGTTCAAGTCGTTAGCGGGTTTGTCGGGGCAGGCTGGGGGCTGGGGCTTGTCGTCAAGTACGTGCCGTTCCGAATGACACCAGCGGGTCGACCCAGGCGAACTGGAACCAGTACAAAGCCGGTATCCTTGTGAGCTGGAGGGCAGCCATCGTATCGTGTATTTTGGCCGGGTTTGCAGGATATTGATGGTGGAATCTAAATGATGATACCGTGACGGGCCGGGAGGTTGTTCCACAAGTGAGCTGCCCTTGGCCCGGCGCACATATATAGGGCGCGCTGGTGATATATACCCCCTGATGCCCTGGAATTTCAGGGGCATAGGTAACAGGTATGTCGCTAGTCAGGCGCACAGTCATTGATCGTTAGGTCGCCCGCTCCTCCCAAACTTAAACCTTATCGCGCCGACGTTTCCGGTTGCTACGAAGACCAGACATCATATTTTCTCGCCTTTCCTCGCCTCTCTTCACCGCTCCTTTTCTTCCTGGTTGTAAATCTATCTTGGCCTAGACGATTACCATTGTTCAAGCTATAAAATCAGGTGCCGCTCCGCTAATTTGACGCCTGCACGGCCCTCCGGGGGCAACCGTCAAATTGCCCTAATTTTAATTTTAGTTATTTAAGGCAAAAGAATAGAGTAACATTGCTTTTTTTTTTTTAATGTTTTAACTCGTACTTCGGATAACACAAAAAAGCAATGAAGGCGTCAGCGAAGCCTGAAAGCGTAACTGTTCTTTTTATTTTTATTAATTTTA